GATGGTTTGGAAGTACTGGGGCATCATTAGGAGCCACGTACTCTGACCTTGATTGCAGCATTGTAAACGTTATTCCAAAGTGTCCAACTTGAAGGGCAAGATATGATCTTGAATTTTTTCCTTGAGATGGTGGCTTTTAGTTTATACAATTTGATTAAAATGTTTTACTTCGCTCAAATGTTCTCAACAAGAATTTGGAATATTTTACAGTTTCATTTCTCTGTCATCTGCTAACTACGATATTCTGCATACAGTTGCTTTCCGGTGGAGACCATGACATTGACATTGATGATTTAAGAAGAAACACCCGTTACACAGGTGGTTACACTGAGGGAAGCCGGACAGTAAAAATATTTTGGGAGGTAATGAGCCTTTCCCTTTTGCGTATGGATTTATGTGTTCCACCTCCCTACATAATGATAGTCACGATATCAGTACGTGGTTGTTATGTAAGTAAAAGGTTAACTTCATCAGGATCAAACTTCACAAGTAATCTGTATGCTTTCGTCTTGGTACATATTATATATATGATGTGTGTTGTGTGTGTGTGTTTGCGATCCCATGTAACAGGTAATTAAAGGGTTTCAACCAAAAGAACGTTGTATGCTTCTTAAATTCGTGACCAGTTGTTCCCGGCCTCCCTTACTTGGATTCAAGCACTTGCAGCCCACCTTTACGATCCATAAGGTGTGCTCTTGAACTTACATGCATACATGGTTTTATGTACTGTTGCTAAGCAATCTGTCATATCATTCTTTTATGGTGGTAAAACTGGGGACCCATCATTATTTGTTAGTCCCTTAAATAAAATCAAGAATAAATAAATATTCAGCACAAGACCTTGAATGAATTGAAGAAGGATAATCTTATAAACTCGAGTAATAAAGGGTGTTGCCATTATTTGTTGTTACAAAGGTTGCCTGCAGTGTCCCTCTTTGGGCGACAATTGGGGGACAGGATGTGGAACGACTTCCGTCAGCCTCAACCTGTTACAATACCCTCAAGGTACTCTTATTTATGAAAGCAAGACATTTATTCTCGTTTTACATTGCAAACCATGAGATAAAAACATCTTTAAACTGGCAGGTATTTATACTATTTTCCCCTCTATTTTTCCAATTAATCAATACCTCTTGTTTTTCCCTGCTTAAGCGGGAAAGATGTATTTCTCCAGTCTAACCCTTAAATCGCGGCTATGTAATGTCTTATCATGGGTATGTTCTTTCACTCTTTGTTATTGTTTCAGCTTCCAACGTACAAACGACCGAGCACTTTGAGGGAAAAACTTCTATATGCAATCAGTTCAAATGCGGGATTTGAGCTTTCTTAGGTATCAAATTCATGTGATTTTACCTTCGTCATTTTGAAGTCTCAACTTCATTCTATACTACAGACTAATGTGACAAAACAAAGCATTTATCTATATGTTTTGTTTTGTTTTGTTTTTTTGTTTTTTTTGTTTTTTTTGTAGTTTCTAGGGTATAAAGTAGTTTGCCTGATTTACTACTATTAAGGCAAGATACTAACCACTATGGTTGTGTTTGGTTGGGGGGAAAGGGATGGAAAAGGAAAGGAAAAAAGCTTCATTATGATGTTTAGTTAGTTTTTGGAAAAGGAATAGCCATTTAAAATGGAATTACTTTTTCATTAAATGGGTGAATCATTATTCATTCCTCACATGGGAGGAATAGCCATTCCAAGGTTTTTCCTCTCTTTTTTTTTTTCCATATTTACTCTTGATAATTACAATATAACTAATACAATATTATGATATATTATATATAATATTGTAATTAATATCATAATGTATAATATAATATAGTTGTAATAATGATATTAATGATATCATAATTATATTAATAATTGTAATATTATAATTTTATTATGTAAATATTATATAATAATACAAAATATTATAAAATAAAATTATACTAATGTTGTTGTCTTCATTAACTGTGAAAGTGTTCTTATATATGGCACTCATAAAACTACCGCCATCTTATTAACCCAAGGATGAAAACATTTAAAATTCCATACAAAGTAGGAACAACACCAACTGTTTCTGTATGTATTGGTAACAAGGCTTACATACACGGATACTCTAGGTAAACCAAACCTTCAAACTACTGCCACTAAACGACTCGTGTGTTTAATGCAACTGCTCTGCATTTTATTCTATATGAATAGTGAAACCATGGCAGTCACAAATTCTTCAAACCATAGAAGCAGCTTCAAGAGATGAGATCAAAGCCTTGTTCAAGTAGATCACCAGCCAAGACCTCATTTGCGGATTCAGAGGGATGAAACCCGTCCCAAAATACGTACCCCGTCGCGTTGGAGCACGTCCCTATCGACCCAGAGTTGCAAAGCAGTGAGGTTTCAAGAGTGCCTGTTCCACAGCAAGCCCTTCTTGATTCAAAGAAACCTGTACCCAAGAGAGGAAAATGAAGTTACCTCATCAGCAAATTGATTTTACCATTATGTTCTTTCATTAATATGCTTGCTAAATACTCTTTAGAATGTTTGACAAACTGAACAATGATGGAAGAAAGTAGCTGATAATGATTGTAACAGTGACAATGTTCATCTAATGCATCGGTTAACTGATGGTTGCAGAGAAGGTGCATTACCATTATCACTGGGCTTTCTGATCATCTCCAAGAGAGGATGATAAATATCAAAGACAACAAGCTTGAGACCCAAAAGATTTCGCAGATTTTGGGTTGTGCTATTTAACTTCTTGTTGAATAGAGTTGCGTCGTTGTTTAGTTTATCAACACACTGGTTGCTTCCTCTTCCAAATAGGGTGACAGATGCCGGCAAGCACCCGAGTGGCGGTAAGTTAGTGACGCCGATCCTTCTTGCTCCCAGTCCATACAGAGTCTGCCATCACGCTGCTCATGTTATGAATGGAAATGCTTTTGAACAAACCAAATGAAAGGTTTTTACTTTTTATTTTTTTGCTTCTTCTGTGGATGTGGAAAGGTTTATTTGATATTGTTATGTGAATTGTTTCCAACTTTATGCGTGACACTGTTGTTTCTTCATTACACACATTGAGGGTGATCCTTATGAAATCTAAATAGCATTTATCACCAACCATGAATCAACATGAAATTATTTAAAGTACATCATGATTTATTATCATACACCGGCATCTTCTACATACTATTTGTCGATTGTATACGTATACGATTTTCATGTTCTAATATGCGTATAGCCCCAGCCATCTTAGAATGAAATAGTAAATTAAAGGAAAACTTCAAAGGATTTGCAACTAACCCCCTTAAACTATTACGTAGTAGCTACTTTTTGAGAAATTCCCATTGTTAACTTAATAATTCCGTTAGATGGTATAATCATGATTAAGCGTGTTGAATGTTGACCGTTAACATAAAGCCTATATTAGTTTAATCTAATTAAATCAGCTACATATAATATAACCCGTATTTGCATCTCTGTCCTAAAAGTTTAAGGTGTTACATGCCAAGTGAAGTGATAAAAGGATTATTTTCACATCCTTAAGATATATTAGCAAAATATAGAGACAAAAAAAGGAAAAAGTACAGTATTATAATATCGAGTATAAGAGAAACCTGAACAAAATTAGTGTAGGAACTCATGAGAATATCAGAGAACTGATCAACTGTGTAAGCTCTATTTAGGACAGGATTGATATAGTAGTTCTGGACAAAATCACTACTCCCAGCACTTAGAAGATGGATTGCACCAGAGAACAAGTCATTGGCTTTGGCTTGTCCCACCATATTCACCACTTTATCCTGATATGCCTTGTAGTAATTCAGCTGCTGTGTAAGTGAGATAGCCCTCTACCAAAAAGACCCAACAAAAAACACAACAATCAAAAAGAAAAAGACATATATATGTATATATGTATATGTATATGTGTTTGTGTGTGTGTGTGTGTGTGTATAGAGAGAGAGAGAGAGAGTTTTGTTTCATTGTTTTCAAATCTTACATATAACTGAGCTGTTCTGTCATAATAGCCAGAAGCTCCTGAGGCAAAGTTGGCTCCAGTCAAGAGCTTCTTTCCCTTGGCTTCCGGGCTAAGGTAAGCCGGCGGGTATGAGGTGAATCCAAGATATTCAGCTGTGAAACAATGAAACAATAATAATAATGATTAAAAAAAAGGTGTGACCTAAGACTTAAAAAAAAAACTCATTATAGAGGAAAAACCAAGAGGGTATGAGCAAAAACTCGGAAATTTCACCAGTGAAGTCTGTGGCAAGCTTTCCATTGCAGAACCTTCCGGTTGGTTTGTGAGTGACAAAGTCTCTTCCATAAGGAGGAAAATTTGCCTTGACAAGCGTATAGAGATAGTTATTGTTTCCAGTGTCAACCACAGAATCACCAAAGATCATCAGACCGGGAACAAGAGGGTCTCCATGAACCACAGAGAAGGGAAACACAACAACAATGATCAAGAAACCAAAGGCAAGTTTTTTGCTTGAGATTCCCATTTTTCTTCACTTGTTTTGTTTCCACTTTCCAATACACTCAAAACTCACTATTCTGGTATAGAGAGAGAAACAAGAGTGAGTGAATGCCAATGAGAAGGACAGGTGGGGATGGAATTTAAGGAGGGTGGTAAGATTTTTTTATTATTATTATTTTTTGGTAAAGAAAAATGGTCAAATGTGAAAGAGCTTTGAGAGGGAAAGTTTATAAAGTATTATTGTGCTTCCAATAAAGCTGCTTGTTTTCTGGCAACGAGGCATGTTTTAACACCCTCACTGAACTTGTTATATTTTGTCCTCTTCAATTCATTAGTTTCCTTTACCAAAAGTGTTATGATTGTTTTTGTATTCATGCTTGTTGGTTTGTTGTGCTTTGAAGAGGTGACAAAGGATTTAGTTAAAAGCACATATGGCTTTAAGAAAGATTTAAGGAGAAAAGTTCACTTTTTCGGTATCATCATACACATTGCTCAGCACAGCAAACAACTAGCTAGGCCAGTGTGCCGTGTCTTAACCAATTTCTTCTCTTAAAACCATCCAATTCTACAGACACAAACAAGACACCAAAAAAGAAAATGTTTCGATCAACCCATTGTTGATAAGCATGGAATCAAAGTAGTTAAACTCAAATATTGGGAAAACAACTTGAAACCATTATCTTTAATAGGCAATTTGTGACGTGTTCTTTTGAATTATTTTTCCATGCATTGCAAATTATGACAAGATCGTCAACTGGTGTGACATAATATTTATTTTATATATCAGTCTGCTGTAACATAATACTGATTTAAATGAGAAAATTTCTGATTATTACACTTGTTTTAATGTGATTGTTATTGTACCTCATTTTTTTTACCTATTACAAGGGGGACCTCAGTAGCCTTTTCCTAACTATATAAAATTTCTTTCACCAATCCACTACTATCATTTATAGGTATGATGATCATTCATTGCTATTAGTTAGCAAAATTTTCTTTAGGTGTATTATATATGGCACTTCTTTGTGATGGGGACGTCCTCTTTATTAGACACTGTGAAGTGTGAGATGCACCAAAAATTTCAAATCAGGTAATCAGACGAAACTGGCAAAACTTTATGGGAAGTGTCAGTAAGTGGAGTAAATGGAGCTCCTCGTGGATTGTATTTTGGACTCCTTTTTTGGCTTTGCCTCGAGGGGATTCTTTAGAACAAAGGAAGAAGAACCGTTTGACAAGTGTCTGTCTTCTTTTAAATTTACTTATGGTATCGGCTCAGTTTAGTTCCGTTCGAATTATGAATTAAATATTATTTAATTCACTGATTTTAATTTTTAATTTGAGTTTAGATGTGATTTTATATGAAAATATTTTACTGTAGTAAAAAAGTTAGATGTGACTGTTTTTAAGAGTTTTTTACTATAACAAAACTCGAAACGGTGAAATGAATGATTTAAAATTGTGTTTAATAAGCACACAGTTTGAATTATATTTTTTGTTTAAATTAAGTTAAACTGTTCAAATTAAAGTTTAACTCCTCCTTCTATTTCAATAGTTCAAACAATTTTTAAGCAGTAAAAGATGTCTATTCTCTATGCTTTTTATACCTACTAAATACAAATTTAAATTTTATTCATTGTTTACATTTAAACTTTAAATGCACATCCAAACGCCAATTCAGTTTACAGTTTTTTTGAACAGGAAATATAACTTTTAAATTAAACAGCCAAATCGGCAAGCACAACAGAAGATACAAAGCAAAAGATCATATGAACCCTAACAAAATCCTGTGTACAACTAAAACCAAAAAAAGCTAAAACATAAGTAACTTTATTACCATTTCTGTTTATATGAGAGTACTCCCACCTCCCCATAGAGGATAATTAACTAAACAATATCCTCTATAATAACACCTTCTTCGCCCATCGTTGAGCTTTCCTAAACCACTTGAACTACACGGACAACATCAACTTCAGCCATGCTGATGGAGAACCCCCGCTCATGTGCGAAAATTAGGCCTTCCCGAAGGGCCATGAATTCAGCTAAAAACGGTGAGAAAGATCCCGCAATCCTCTTCGCCAGACAAGCACAGACTATTCCTTCCCCATCCCTGATGACGTCACCTATTCCAATGGAGCTTGTACACTCTCCAACTGACGCATCAGTATTAAGCTTGAAAAGTCCAACCACCAGAGGTTTCCAGCGTACTTCACTAACAGGCACCGTAGTCCGATGTTTGGCTGCCGGATCCCAACAGCTTTGAAACTCAGCAATTGTCCACCCAGTTGTTCCTAGGATATCCGTCGGCTCTCGATAGACTCAGTGATGGACAAATTGGTTCCGAACCACCCACGCTAGTACACAGAAAATTTCAAGGTCCTCTCCAGTTGCTACTTTGCAAAACATAACACATAGAGCTTCAAAACCTCCAGCTTTGAAAGGCTTTAACTTGTGCCAAAGAGCACTCACTTCCTACACCTGAATAACAGCAGGGCACATCCACAGTGCATGCCAAATAGATTCCTCCTCCTCACCACAACGCTGACATCTCGTTACACAATTAATCCCCCTCTGAACTAAATTGGCAAAGGTTGGTAAGAAACCCGAAATTGCCCTCCACATGAAGTTCTTGATTTTATTCAGAATATGAAGATCCCACAGTTTTCTCCACCACACACTATGCCCTTCTCCCTCCAGAACTACTAGGCGAATTTTTTAGGCGCATGGCTAGCTTGTAGCCCGCACGAACGGAATAGAGCCCCTTAAGAATCATAATGCCACACCTAGAGATCTTCACTAGAGCCACAACTCAAAGGCATGTTGAGAATAATTTCTTGATTAATAGGGAGAAAAATATGACGAATAAGCTCCCGGTTCCATTGTCTATTAATAATAAGATCTTCTACCAACCAATCTTCAGTTTCTTCAGTCACTGCCGTAATTGGACGGAAAGAATGAGGTCTAGGGATCCAAGGGTCCCTAAAACATCGAATGGATTTCCCGGAACTAACACGTTTACGAATGCTACCTTTCAAAAGTTCTCGTCCCCATAATATACTACGCCAAGTATATGAAGGGTTGTGTCCAATATTAGCATCAAGAAAATCACCCCTTAGAAAATACTTAGCCTTAAAAATCATGGCAACAAAGGAGGAAGGTTTTGAAAGTATTCACCAACACTGCTTTGTCAGAAGCACTTGATTAAACACACCCACATCACAAAAGCCCATACTCCCCTCTTTCTTAGGACGACATAATAGCTCCCACTTTACCTAATAGATCTTCTTCTCAATGATTCAGACTACAGTTTAAATCATACAATTTGACTTTTTCTGTTTAAATAAAAAAATTTAAATCAACACAATTTGAATCAATGAAATAAACGGAGGCTTAACTTGTCTTAAGGGGGTTCAATATTGGGGTTGCTAAGGTTCGTGGTTTCTTGTCTATTTTCCACTTGGGATTTTGGCGGGACAGGCATTTGGGAACTTCCTATCTAGTTTATCGCGTCAAGAAAAAATTATGTTAAAAAAATATCAAAAGTAGCATAATGGTGCCGAATTCCAATGCACCACATACCTTATAGTAGTGCATTATAAGTCAATGTTTGAATATGTAGCAATGTGAGTTTTTGCTATAAAAAAAAATGTATTAGCCAAAAAAATGTATTATATATAACAATGTTAACGTAATTCACAAACATTGTACAATAAATATTTAGACCCGTTCATTTTATTAATTTAAATTATAATTTAAGTTTTTGCTGTAATGTTCTCTTTAATAAATGTTTAAAATAATTTTTTTTATTACAGTATTTTCTTTCATGTAAGTTCATATTTTTCAATTCAAATTCAAAACTCGAATTAATAAAACAAATAGAACCTCTTCCTAATATAAAAGGTGAAAAAAAAAATAGTAAAAGGCTACCCTCCAATCTTGGCACATAAAAATAAGCAAGCAATTGGTACAAAGATATAATCCATTTGCTTTTGAGTTGTTTCTCTATTCTTGTTTTGAGAGTGGGAGACTCTATAATTAGTTCAAAATATAGCCAATGATTTCAAGCGCAATTGCATCTATACTAATTATTTTTACATTCCAGTTTTTTTTTCCCTGCATAATACATTTTACCTTTCCCTTTTTCTGTTTTTCTCATTCTTGTCTTGTGTTTTTGGTCATTTTCTAATCATCCAATAATCCAAATCAATATAGTATTACCGGTAGAACCAGTTTTTAGACTGTTAGATCTGATCAAAATCAAATGAGATTGAAAAATATGCAGAACAGATAGTTTTTGATACAAACTGACGGCTAGAAAAAATAGAACTAGCGGTGATTTATCCTTTGTTTTGGTAGAAGACTCAATATTTGTTTGCTTGTTATCATGCATTTCTTGTGGATTGTATTGTATGCCATTTCAGCTTGTCTCTGAGGATATTTTTGCCAATTATCATTTTTTTTAGGAAGATTATCATATTATTGCACACTACTAGAGTTTTTATTTTTCTTTTCCTCTCCCTCTATTCTTTGTGCTTTCTTTGTTTTTGTTTTGTAGTTTGTCTTCGGGCCTTACATTGTAATATGTAATAAATGTAACATGGCGTTTATTTTGTGCGGCAATAATTAATTATAGATGTGTGACCTTAGATAGATAAATTCTTTGTTACCATATATCTACAAAATCACTGTTATACAGAGTAATGTAATGTTACACCTTCCATATTTTCATGTAGGACCAATGAAGTACTTTTGCCTTTGCTTTTCTTTTGTTAGTCTAATTAATAATTGAATTGTGAATGAGGGTTACCTTTTAATTTCAACTTTTTTCTCAAATATTTATCCTTTATTTTTAGAAACTATAAAAGCATCTTTTAAATTTTAAAACCATGATTCAATTTCATCATTCCCGAGCCTTTTGGATTAATACCATGATCATATATTACATGAGTTGACCGGAAGATAAGATATGGTACTCTGATTACCAATATATATATATATATATATATATACATATATAAATATATGGTACTCTGGTACTTTGCCACAAATTTTTTTATAACTAGAAAACAAAGACTCCTGCTTCTTTCGACTATGAAGTATGTTACAACTTACAATTAAATCATGTCGGAAAATGGAAAATACAGAGAATGCCCCTATCTAAGGGCATAAAGATGATATAATATTTTTCAGTTAATCTAAGCAATAGCCTATAAATATTGATGTCATTTTCAATTTACTTTCTGAACATTAAAAATCCCTACATTTTCTCCTTTAATTTTTGAATTAGTCCTATTTAACTCATTTTGTTACCCACCCGAACTTTGGGGAGAATTCTAAATTAAGAAGGCAGAATTCTAAAAAATGGTACTACACTGAAATAAAAAAGTGAATTAATAGAAGACATTAATAAATGTTAAGGCCAACACAGATTGGCCCCCATTACATTCAATTTCAATGTAGTACTGACAAATTATTGGCAAAAACGATTGATAAATTCTCATATTTGCCGTAAATATAGTCATTTTCTTTATTATCAGATAAACAAAACCAAGTGAAAGCATGAAAGATGAAAGAAAAATGGATCAATATTGTATAGAAGTAAACAAGAGTTAGAAAAGAGGGTCACAGTGTTGGGCTAATTCCTCTCAATTAACATTGCAAACTTATTCCTTGTCAAACAATTGGACAATGAGCTCCTTAAGACTCTACTTGAGAGATTTCATCGCCACTGCTGTAATGGCCTTTGCATACGCCCTTGTTCCTGGATCGGAGGACCGAGCTTGAAGGGGGAAAAGTGTTGTTGCGATCTCAAAAGGATGCCTTCTTACACCCCCACTCCCTTTAGGGCAGAAGCGAGGACAACCCTCTACTGAACGAATGGATTGGCAAAAGGGCGAACGGCTCGATCGATACGTGGTTGCGGCGACTGCTTTATCGAACCTTGTCATCCAATCTTTTAAATATTCATTTGGCTTCTGGTAGACCATTGTCAAGTTTTACTTTAGCGGCAGTACTTCTTTACTCCAATAAATTATAAGGAGAAGGCTTTTTTTAATTCTTCCCAGTTGGATATAGAATTTGACTTCAACGTTCTAAACCATCGACGGGCTAAATCCATCAAATGGTTCCTAAATCCTCTGCACATAATCTCCTACGAGCAGCCATGCAGCAACATATAGTCAGTGTACAACTCCAAGTGATCATCTGGATCTCCCCTTCCATCGTATGGATGTATGGTTGGTGCTTTGTATTTTTTAGGAAGGGGTGACACCATGATTTCAGGTGTAAATGGGTGATCATGAACCCTCTTTTGGGCGATATCAACATTTACCACCTCCGCTACCTACCCCAAATTCTTTTGTAAGTGATTCACCTGGCTTTTCACATCTTTTTTCAAACCGACGACATCTCCTGTCAGCTTTTTTTCAAGGCTCGCCATACGCTCCATGATTATCTTAACCTCAGTTGTTGATATTGCAGTAAAAAATAATGAATTATCAAAAAATTAAAGGTAATAAAATAAAATCTAAATATAAAATATTCAGATTTTAGATACAAAAGTCAAATTATTTGATTTAATAAAACTTTTCTTTAGAAAACATAAAAACTATCACAATAAAACCCTAAAAAGTAGGAAAGGAATTCAATAATTTACTGCTAAATTTGGATGCAAAAGATCATAAGCTTGAAAATAACTCTTTTAAGAAAATATATCTCGAAATATATATGAAAATCATCATTACAATAATGATAACGTAGTAATAATAAAAATTTATAAATTTCAGTATAATAATACGTGTGAAATGATGAACATGTAACTGATTTAATTTTATGAAAATGACATGTTGAATACTTATAATTTTCCATTTTATATACTCATTATGAAAATGAGTATATCATTACAAAAATCAACATGTCATTACGACATATCATAATATGGTCATGTTATGTTCGATATAGAAAAATTTCATACAAAAATGAATCTGGTGTATAAAAGAAATTTATGAGTTCATTCTAACAATTATATTATCATTAGGAATATGAATGAACTAAAAATGTTTGATTACGATATTTATGACTTCATTGGAAACAAAACAACGTGATGCAAAAAAAAAAAAAAAAAATGTATGACTACCAAAGAAAACAAAAGAAAATAAGGAGGAAATCATCTAGAAACCAGAAGAAAAGAAAGAGAAAATCATCAACAATGAGTCAAATTAAATAAGAAACCAATTACAATATTTTCAAAACTCATTGCTAACTGGTTTATTATCGGTTTTCGGCCAAAGAATGGGGAGATCTGGGTTTCTTTGGTAAGGATGTGGGTGTTTTTTGGGGCTATTAAAGAGGCAATATTATGACATGGAGGGAGATGGATATCCCGTTTGAAATGGAAAAATGAAAATTTTAAGTCTGTAATTTACAACTTTAAATGTTTTTAATTTTGATTCCTAAACGAAAATGGACGTTAAAACACAAATGAATGTCGAACGTTCATCCGTTTGCATTTGAACTTTATATGTATCCAATTTTAGTTTTTAATTTTCAAATTTTTTTTTAAATATTTAACACTAAGTTAATAGAATGACCAAAATTGAAATAGAGTAAAACTTTAAGGACCAACTATGAAACACTTTAAATGTCATAGACCAAAGTAGGATTGATGATAAACTTTAGGGACGATTTGTGAGATTAACTCAAATTGTTTTATATATATATATATATATATGTTTGGGATTTAAATTATATGAGTCCGGGATAAGTAAATTTCTTGTTATTATACCTTATGAGTCTATGACGCTGTTATTACATTCAACCTCATTTGCGAATCAAGTAATCATTGCCCAAGTATATATGATTCACATGTCACTACTATCATTTATGATCCTTGATTGCTAAAGTTATCAAAGTTTTCTTCCGGTGGTATTACAATTTTCTATAAATTAGTAAATTCCTTTTTTTTTCTTTTTTCCGGGTTTTTATGGTCGTTTCTAACTATCCTACGATTAAAATAAATATATGGCAAGTTTAATAGTACTGTAGATTTTAAAAAAAATTATTGTTAGTTATGCTAAAAAAAACAGTTGAGTGTTTAGTAAACTATAATTATACAAATATTGATTCTAAGGGTATTATACGTATTATAAAAATTTCATTAATTGTACTTTAAGGTAATTGTCGCACAATCTAAAAACTAAAATTATTTTTAGACTGTTTTTGATTTTGACTGTAAATTCTTCAAAAAATTCTTTAAGAATCACTTTTTATGGTTTTTACCAAACACAAATTTCAGCTTTAGATGACTGAGAATTGATTTTAGGCTCTAAGAATCAGTACCAAACATACCCATAATATTCGATCCAAAAAAATAAATAAATATAATATTGCACGACGTTTATTCTATGTGAAAATAATTCTAGAAATGCATGACATTAATCTAGAAACAATTAATTCTTCCGTTATAGAAAATAAAATTAATTCTTCTACATTCTTCCGTTATGGTCCATGAAGCGATCACCAGAAGAAAATGATACAACCCACTCACTCATTTGGTCAAAGTGATAAGCTAATCTTGCAAAAACAACAAAATGGGGGTTTCTGTAGATAAGATATGGTTCTGATTTACCTAATTTGGTGCTGCTGATTACTAAAGAACAAAGACTCCTGCTTTTTTAAACAAAGGGAGTAAGGGATGGGCTTTGCAATTTGCATCAAAAAGTCTGAAATCACCGTAATTGCTTACCACTGCATACTCATCCCAGATCATGAAACTTATTCACATCGGAACCTGGATTACCACCAACATGATTGCACCATTTTTCATCCTGTGAGTGGAAATCAAGAATGCAATTAAAATTATAGATCATGTCAAAAAATGGAAATCTAGAAGTAATGGTTTTTTTTTTCCTGTTAAAGTATAAAACTATTGTTGACCCATCTCCTAACAGCTTAAGTTTTTAGGATGGATTGGTAAACTAACATGGTATCAGAACGGGAGGTCCTAAGTTTAAACCCCCATAATTGCACTCTTTATCCCCATTTAAATTGTCATCATGTGTTGAGTCTTTAATATATCTCGAACTTAAATATTCACGTGTTGGGCTTTTCAATTAATTTACTCATATGATTGTCTATTATCTAGCCCACACGTGAGGAAGAGAGTTAATATATAAAACTATTATTAGCCTACCTCCTAACAACTTAAACTTTTGAAATGGATTAGTACACTAACCTTTCCTCTTGCTTTCTTTCATTGTATACATATTATATAAACTTAATAGGGCAAAATTTTAAACGAAACGCACAAACTAAAGATGTGGATTAAGAAGTGGGTTCTAATTTTCTCTTTCTCTATGGGGAAATAGTAGAAAATAGACTAATATTAAAAGCTTAAGAAAGTATATAGGTCAATTTTTAGTTATAGAACTTAATAGGTCATAACTTGTCAAGTTATGGTTCATAACCAGATAAGTTATGGATAAACTTGTCAAGTTATAGTTTATAGCCATATAAGTTATGGACAATTATGGACAATAACTTGTCAAGTTATGGTTCATAACCAGACTAGTTATATACAAAAACAGTTATTTAGCCTATTTATTAACTTATGTAAACTATTGACCAATTAATTTTAATTTATCTCAAGTCTTGACCTATTTTTCTTTTTCTCTCTTTTCTATGCATAAAATATTTTAGGGCCACCACAGATCGGCCCATCTGGCATAGCCTACAGTTTCACTACAGCACGCTGGAGAGGGGGTTCTGGACTGAGCGTGGAAGTTGTACAAAGGACAGACCAAATTCAGCTAAATAGAACAGCAAGAATAAAGGTGGTTTGGAGAAATAACAAAATTTTCGAGAGCTAATTTAAAAACTTGTGAAATGTTTTAGGGGGAAAAGAAGAATCGTTTAGATTAAATCTCATATTTATTGACTAAAATTAATTGATAAATCTCATATTGATTGATTAAAATACTTGATAAATTCTCATATCTGCTGATAAATATATTATTTACTAACTAAAATAAGTGAATATTTATTGAGTGAAGCGGGCCATTTTCTTTATTGTTCATAAACCGAAATTTACTAAAAGGATGAAAGAAAAATGGATCAAGAGCAATAGAAGTTCCACAAGAGCTAAAAGGGGGGGGGGTCAATGGCAAACAACAACAGTCATTAATTTCAATGACACCCTTGATCATAACTTACAAAACTGGGGACGCAAAAGGAATAGCCGAATAGCGCATAAAAAGCATGACTCCTATATTTCTGTTCATGGAGCTACGAGGGCCCTATACTTCCCCCCAAGGTCTTCTTTGGCAAGTAAAAGGCAAGCCTTAAGACAGATGAACTGATATTAACAAAGACTCGATTCTAATCAATGCATCAAAAGTTTGAAATCACCATCATTAGTTACCACTGTATATTCATATCCTAGACTATCCGCACGATCACGGAACTCATCCATCTCAGAGCTTGGAACCTGAATCCCCACCAACACATTTGCACCCGTTGCACCCTGTCAGGGGGCAATTTATAAATTAGGCGTCATTTCGTGTATTAAAAATAAAAAAGACAAAAAGTTTGGCACATTCCAATCTATTTAGAATATAAAACTTTAGGAGTTGGATTCCAACCTGTCCACGGTAATGGAACAAAGTAATATTCCAACGAGGACTGAACGCATCCAAGAACTTCAGCAAAGCACCAGGTCTCTCTGGGAAGACGAAACGACAAAGGACCTCATTTTGCACATTTAATCTCCCACCCATCTGAAAGAAAGCCAAAATACAGTAAAACTTAGTTTGGCGACACTTCTATACAAGCATATTGCTCATAGGAGAGGAAGGTACTCTTTCCTCAGTTTACATGATAGGCATGTTAGATGTTCCTGAAGCGGAGTGACAGTCTATGAATTTATTAAAAAAAAAAAAAAAATTCTGGGGATGAGAAACTTTGCAATATCATAATATATTAACACGGCAGATGTCAAATACGTAGAAGCCTTTTAATTGGCTTCCTCAAAAGTATTAAAGAAAAGGGGTCTATGAAAATAAGATTACCAAGTAACGCAAGTGATCTTTAACCAAATCATTTTCTGTGAGATTGTAAGTTTGAAGTTGAGAAGACGCCATTCGCTCCACCATTTCCTTGAGTTCTGAAACTGTATGAACACCAACACTGCACACAATATGAAAAAGGTTACTAACCAGAACTGACACACACACACACACACACACACACAGAACCCCAGAACCAATAGATGAAATCTCCCATTGAACTGGGTCCCAACTGAAAATTTAGAATTTTTTAGTTCTTTAAAAACCGAACAAACATTTACCTGTACAATACAACAGCCTCTTTGTCAGAGCTATATCTATATTTGAATTCAGTAATATCCATTGGACCCACCTGCCAAATGAATGATTAAGTTGACACCAAGAAGAAAGAGATGTTTGATTTGGAAAGTTGTTCAAGTCGTATGTTCATACCAGTTGACAAAAATGTTTGAAGCTCCCAGCCACCTCAGGCAAAACTGTTGCAAGCACTGCCTCTTGTTGGCGACCAACATTAGCAAGTTCAGTCACCACTCTAAGTTTATCAAAGTTCATATTTGCCCCACTGCTTATTGCTACAACATTTTCTCCTTTAATACCATAATATCTGCAGTATGCTTCAGCTCCAGCAAGAGCAAGCGCACCTGCTGGTTCCAAGATACTCCTTTTTTCCTCAAACATGTCCTGCAGCACAAGAACAATGACAATTTTTTTTTTTTTTCAGCATTTCCAAAAATCTAAGCAAGATACAACCTTTTCACTAGGTTATGAAACAAACTAGCAATCGTAGAAAAGTAAAAGTATAAAATTGAACAAGAATAACCCCACAACACGTGCAAGTCTTTTGATGCCATGAGTGGGCCGCAAAGCAGACAGCTAGCTGTTGCTATGCTACACATCAGAGTTTGGAGATGAAGCTTATAAATTTACACAAAGTAGACGACCCTTAGTATGACAATAGTTGTAGTATACTTGATGACTTGACTTATCAAGACCTTACTGTACTTCGAGTTGTTGATATATATTTAGCTATATATAAGGAGCACTACTAAATGGTTAATTCTCACAAGGCACACTGTACAGATCACTAATGTTCTACAAAGGTAATGAAATATGACCCTTCTGATGAAGAAAGTTCACCCAAACTCCTCATCAAAAAACATTCCAGCAGTTGACCAAGAGCCTTGACTAATATAAAAATTCAAAATTCACACGTTTCATATCTGCATCTAACCATAATCTAGTGTTAATTTACACCACAAACAAGAAATGCATATGTGGTTGTCACCAAAGTAAAAATGGACTAATATAACGAATAAGCATAATAAGCACATAGTTGCAGACTTGCAGGCCTTGAAACATGTAAAAAAAACCTCACCTTTATTGAGGCGCAAATAGCATCTCGGCTTACAAGAACAACACCATCTACCAATTCTCTGCACAAGCGAAAAGTCTCTTCCCCGACCTCTTTTACAGCAACACCATCTGCAAAACCTCCCACCTGGTCTAATATCACCCTCTGACCATGGTGTAACGATAACGCCATAGCATTTGCATCGGAGGGCTCAACCCCTATTATCTTCACCTGCAATTGCAAATTACGTCATGTAACAACCAATCACTAACCACCCCCAAAGAGCAACTTAACGATATATAATAATAACAAAACATCAACTTATAGCAATCAAGAAAAGGGTATAATTAAGAAACAGATAATAATCTTAATCTTCAGAAACTGTAAAAGATCAAATACTTATGAACTCAAAGTACAGAAAGCTAGAAATCCTACAAACCTCGGGGGTGACCCTCTTGACATAAGCAGCAATACCGGCAATTAGGCCGCCACCACCGACAGGCACAAAGATGGCGTGCAATGGACCTTTCATTTGGCGCACAATCTCCATTCCAACGGTCCCTTGGCCCATGATAACATCTGGATGATCAAATGGAGGTATGAACGCACGCCCTTCCTCTTCACTCCTTTTCTTAGCATAAGCTTGTGCTTCATCATAAGAATCTCCCACAAGAACCACCGTAGCTCCAAGTCTCTCAACAGATTGCCACTACCATAAATTGAATAAAATTCGTACACATAATTCATGATAAGAATTCAGAATTCGAAAACTATATTCGAATATTTGAAAAAAGAAAAAGAAAAAGAAAAAGAAAGAACCTTGATTTCTGGTGTGGTGACGGGCATGGCGATCACCGCATCACAACCCAATTTCTTGGCGGCCAATGCAACTCCTTGAGCGTGATTCCCAGCCGACGAGCAAATCACCCCCCTCTCCAAATCCTCCTTCGTGAGCTTGGCCATCATGTTATAAGCTCCACGGAGCTTAAACGAGAAAACCTGAAGAAGAAAAAAAAAAAAAAAACCAAAATCCCTAATTCATACATTTCCAACACATACGAAACTACTGCATAGCCAAAACGTTAATCAACTCACCGGCTGTAAATCTTCCCTCTTGAGCCAAACCTTAACGCCGAGCCTCTCGGAGAGCCTCGGCGCGAAATGCAGCGGCGACTCGATCGCGACGTCATAGACCTTCGACGACAGAATGTTCGTCAGGTAGCTCAGCGCATCGTCTCCGTCGCCGATGGCGGAGCGGTCCGGTGCTGCGCCGACGTAGCCCGCGGGGTACTGGAGGGAATCGGCGGATACTCTCAAGCGAGCCGGAGCCGTCGGAGGATTCCGCAACGTCGCCGCCGCAGCACCATTTCCGGCGGAGGGAGCTGATGGATTGGGGGAAATCTCGGCCGCCGGTTTGGAAAGCGTGGCGGCGATGAAGGGCCTGATTTGGCGGCCGTTCGCAGCTCGGTGGGCTTCATTGGGCCTGCGTTGGGCCAATTCCGGCCATTTTGATGGGAGGAGAGGCGAATGGGCCCGAGTCAGGCGCAGCGCCTCCATGGATTTTCGGTTTCTTAGAGAGAGAGTTTTTTCAAGTTCGTGTTGGAGGCGACTGATAATTTGTCCCTCGCAACAAGTAAGTCATTTGGTTGGAGTTTATTTATACTGACCGAACGCACGCGCTGTTTGAAACTGAAGTGCTACTCTGACCGTTGTTCTGGTAAAAAGATGACAGCCCGTAGCAGCAAGACACGTAGACTAGGTGATTAAGTTGGCTGACGTGTAATCTGAGCATGGGCTTGTTGCAATGGTTGTGTGCTGCTTCAGGTTTGTTTAGCCGGGATTCAACTTTCCTGTCCAACATGTTCTTTTGTCAAAAAAAAAAAAAAAAAAAAACTCAAAAACAGACAACTCAAGTTTCAATTTTATTCAAGTTTATATTCTTTTAAGTTTTAATTTTATTCAATTTTACTCAACTTTATTCAAGTTATAACTTCAACTCAAGTTATAACTCAAATTCAACTCAAAAACTACACTCAAGTTACACTAAAAAAACATGAAAGTTTAGTTAAAAACATATCTGATGTGTTTAGAATTGTTCTTATTTTTATTTTTTACGTTTTTTTAAATAGAAAAATGAAATAATTTTAAAACGGTGTTTGACACGATTAAAGATAAAAAAATAAAAATGAAAATAATATTTTGATTTAGTGAAAAATAAGAGAGAAATTAAAAATGATTTTTAGTCATTTTTCATTTTTTGTTTTCATTTTCTCCTCTCTCAAACAGAGAGAGACATTAATGAGTTTTTTTTATACTGAAAATAATTTCTTGATAAAACTACCAAAACGCATTTTTAAAAATGATTTCTGTCTGAAATTAAAACGTTTTCATTTTTATTTTTATATAAAAAACAAAATCGTTTTAGAACGAGTTTCAAATGCACCCATCATGTTCCGTTTGTTTCGCTAATTAGAATTGAGGATTTAAGTTGAAAAATAAATTTATGTGAGAGAAAATATTGTAGCATAAATAGTTAAATTTAAATTTTTTTATGAGAAAACACTGTAATAAAAATTTAAGTTGTGATTTGAATCAATGAAACGAACGAGGACTTTTTTTTTTAAATGTCATGATTAGTGTTGGAGCTTTGGGCCGGTGGGCCTGCCTGAAGCCCGAATATTTCGGGCTTGGCGGGCAGGCCTAAAGGCCGGCTCGTCCAAGGTCCATTTTTAGGCTCGGGCTTAGGCTGTCTAAAAATGGACAAATCGTCGGAGCCCGCCGCCGTGAGATCACCATCAACCGCTGTCCGCCAGAATTTTTTCACTCCGGCCCGAATTGCCTGAAGCTCGAGCCCGACCAACAGCTATATTTTTTACTGTTGGCGCCTAAGCCGACCCAAAGCCCAAGCTGCCCAACTCAGCAACTCTTTTTTTAATCGTTGCCCAATTTTTCAACCCGAACCCAACCTGCTGAGGAAAAAAATGGCCGTTGGATCCGAATTTGGGGGAAAAATTAAGTTTTTAACCCAAAAATTTCCTTATAAATACCCCTCATCCCCAACACATTTTCCTCACCCAAACTCTCTCAATCACTTTCAGTTTCTTTCAATCTCTCTCAATTTCTCTCAATCTCTCTCAATCTCTCAAATCTCACTCACAATTTTTCTAAAAGCTATCACAATATCCTAAAGCTCTCTTTCTCAAATCGCTCTTATTTTTTATAATAGATTCTTAGTTATAATGGTATTCCTATTGATGCCCAACACAAAGTCGAAGAAGGGCAATTTATTACGTAGGAATATGCTAATCCAAGCCCTAGTGGACGTACTGGAGGTCATGGTCGCAATGGTGGTGGGCGTGGAGAAGCGGCGAGTGCAAGTGCTACTGCGTCTGCAAGTGTTGAAACCTCTAAGAGGAAATGTAAGAGCACCTCGACAGTTTGGGATCACTTTGACACAATTAAGGAGATCGACAATGATGGTAACACTAAATATATAGCTCAGTGTAAATATTGTTTATCTAAATTACATGGTGACATTATTCACGGCACAACACACTTGAGAAGACACTCCAAAAAGTGTATTCAAAAGCTTAGCCAGTCCAGCGAAGCTGAACTCCGTCAAACACAATTATGTTTTGATCGCACAACCGGTGGTCTAACCACTTTAAAATACGATCCGCAAGTAGATCGTATGGAAGTTGCGCGAATGATAACTGCATTAGATCAACCACTTAGTTTTGTAGAGCATCTTAATTGGCAACGATATATTAAAGTTGTACATAATCCTAATGCACAGTTCACTTCAAAAACTACTCTTAGGAAAGATTTGTTAAAATTATTTAAAAAATAAAAAGAAGTATTAATAAACCTTTTATACCCGACTAGCAGTTGCGTTGCGTTAACAGCAGACATTTGGTATGCCGTTGCCAATAAAGATTATTTAGCTGTAACTAGACATTACTTTAAAGGATTCGATTTAGATAGGATAATATTATGTTTTAAATGTGTTTTAGAATCACATAACGGGTCGGGTCAGGCGTCGGGCTCAAACTTAGTTTTTTCGGGCTGTCGTAGGCGGCTCATCTAAAGTTTCAGCACTAGTCATGATATAATATGCATACAAATAATATTTAGTCAAACTTTACAAATTTTCGCAACTTTTAAATATCTTTTGGCATTAAAATTAAGCAACACTAAATTTAGAAGATAAATATAAAAATTAATCTCAATCTTATTCCTCATATTTATAAGTGAATTTCACTTTGGTTCATAATACTGAAAACATCCCATGGTTAGTTATTGATCTATAAAACCATGCCATTAAAGTTCTTTTGCCAAGAACCCATTAAAAATTGATAGAATATGACACATGATATTACTATAAGGTCCTGTTTAGAAGAGGGATTTTATGGGTAAAAAAGTTTGAAGAAAAAGAAAGAAAATAAGAAGTTGTTCTTTTACAACAAAACTCAAAAAAAGTTTAAACTCAAGTTACAACTTTATTCAAGTTTACCTTCTTTTAAGTTCTAACTTTATTCAACTTTATTCAAGTTACAACTTTAAACTCAAGTTATAACTCAAAAATTACACTCATGTCACACTCCAAAAGAACAACCTCTTAAAAAACCTTCACCTAGTTTGGAACTTGTAAGAAAATACATAGATAAAAATTTGAATATTTTTGAACAACATACAACCAGATGGAGGACGATTTCGGCAAGCTCCGGTGTGATAGAAGATGGCCATACAGACAAGGACAACAGTGCATCTCGTCGGAGAAGAAAGATCACGACAGAGGACAATTTTGTTGCAAGCTTAGGCATGATGAACGGCGGCGATACAGGCAAGGATGGCGGTATATCTCGCCATAGAAGAAAGATCACATCTTAGGATGATTTCGTTGTGAGCTTCGGCAAGATGAACGATGGCGGCACATGGGTAAGGACGACGACATATCTCACCGGAGAAGACAGATCATGGCCGAGGACGACCGCCACATAAGAGAGGAGAGAGAAGGCAGAGGAGAAGATAAGGGAAGATGGGCGGAAGAGAGAGATGGAGATGGGCAAATGAGGGAGAAGGAGAGGGAGCATCGTGCGAGGAAGATAGAGAGAGGGAATCGTGTGAGAGAAAGAGAGATTGATATCTGAGAAAGAGAGATGAGATAGGAGAAAGAGAGCTTTTTAATTAGGGAATTTAGTTTTCCTATCAATTTTGAGTGGAAAATTAAAATCCACATTTATTATGTAAATTTTAGGTTAAAATTTGTCCTTCAATTTCTTCCCATTATTTTCCTATTTCCAAACATAAGAAAACTTAAAATTCTTCATATTATTTTTTTTTCATCCTAAAATCTAAATTCCAAACACACCCTAAATGCCAACAATAAGATATCACATGATTGACACATGATACTATATGGTTGCCCCACAAACTACAGGTATTGTCACAAAATGCTTCCCGAACTTTAATTTTAGCTTTTTTTCCTCTCAAACTTCAATAGTTCTTGCAAATTTTCACAATTTGTTAAATTCTCGATGGCAAATGTCATGAAAAATGCATAAATTAACAAACAAAAAAAACTTCTTATGTTAAGATTTTTAACATAAATGACACGCATTACACAAATAATAAGTGTCGTTTAGGTGATTTAGTAAACAATTGTAGGGGCTCTTTTGGTGCGGGCCTGTTGACGTGGAGGGTGCGAAACTCGTGGCCTCATTCGGTTGGTCAACGTAATATGTACGTCGGTCGTACCCTGTCAGTACGTCGGTCGACAGAGGCTAATGAGCTTCTAAGTATGATTTTTGATGTCGAAGATGGCCGAAGTAACGATGTTGGCCCCGGCTAGGTTAGGCTAAAATCGGATGACCCCGAGGACAGTGGCATCCAAGGGCCACATCCGTTACGATTCCGGCTCCGAGATAGTGAAGCGTTTCAGATAGCGACTCTTATATTATCTAATTTCCTCTATAACCCACGTTATCCTAATTCTCTCATAGACCCAAGACCACTCCAAGTGGGTCAAGGATCTAATTGGGCCGGATAAAATGGGCCCGGTCACATTTCTTAGCCTACCAAACTACAGCCCACATAGAAGTCCTCGAAGCGTGGCTTGGGTCCACATACCATACCTTGGGTCGTGTCATGGGATTTGGGCCGAATCCGTACCGTGCGATTTTTCAGGCATCAACATTAATTATTATGTTAGCTCCTCCTCATACAGCCATATGAAAGTGCAATTACTCAACATGAGTTATTATTTTTTACTATACCTAACTTTCTGCTTAATTTGCTTGACTTAGGGACTTTTGAGGATTCATAAATGGCGACTAACAACAAAAACATAAGTAAAACTTTAATACGGGGGAACTTTTGCAAGAATTACTGAAGTTCAAGAAGAAAAAAAGTTAAAATCAAAGTTCAAGGACATTTTGTAATATAATCTATATAGTTTCAGAGGGCAACCGTGTAATTTTCTTTACATTAAAATGATAGCAAATTTGAAATCTTCCAAAATTTAGAGCATGTTTAGTTCGTTGATTCGAGTTAAGATGTGACTTTATGTGAAAAAAATTTATTGTAGTAAAAAAGTTAGATGTGATTGTTTCTAAGAA